TATATTTGTACTCATCCTTGAGTCACACAGCCCCCATCACGTGGTCATATGTATTGAGTGGTTCATCAAGTGACAAACTTTTCAGATGAAGAAATTTCCCATCATGTGAATTAATTCTTCCACTGGGTGCCTTTCAAATTGTTGGTTATGTAAAGTTTTGAAACTGTTAGCTGAGGGATCGTGTGTTCAAAAAGGCAGGAGTTTCTTGAGGTGCTTACTGCCGATTGAAGCTTACCAAATCTCCTCTCACTACCAGCAATGTATAGGTGGCTAGGAGAAAAACTAATTTATCACGTGAGTGACATCTCCATCTGAGATTTTTTTCGCTTGCGGAACGGGTCGACACATATGACTACTTGATATGGATTCTGTGACTGAAGGATGACTGGCCGCGTACCCCCTCTGAGTGAGAGCTGCTGACCGAACGCGTAAAGGTGCTGACTGCTAGCCGAAAGGTCGCGTGTTTGACTCTCAGAAATTTCGTGAGCTGTACAGTAAAAACGAAACAACTGTACAGTGCTGTTCGAATTCACTTTTTATATTTCTTCCACTTGCACAACAAAAACTTCACTGAATATTCACAGATATTCTTGCACGATCGGCGACTGACGTTCTGCTGGAATTAGCTAAAGTGCACGGTTTGGTGCTTGCGGAGGGGTCTTGGATTTGGAAACATCAGAAAACCGGCTTAACTGACGAGAAAAAAGATATTAAAATCCATTGGTGTCCACAGATTAGTGTTGTCGCAGCAACAAAACTTGCAGCCATAAAGCGACGCTAGCTGAGCGCTCAGTTCAGTTCAAGTTTTACATATCCTTTCATGTTCTACTTGGTTCTCTCAATTGGATAATAAGTAATACGCCAAGCTATACATGCTTTCACCTCAGTTAGAAGTTATATGACCTCGTATACTGACTGGGCCTAATCCCATTCAGTCATTCTTTGAATGTCGTTAGAACCGACACGTCTAAACACAAGTTTTAAATTAGCTCATCTGTGCTATTTGCTATTTACAGAGGTTTTCGCCGTGTGAAGTAACTGCCTCGTCAGCCAGACGTAAAATGGATGGCTTACGAGTCAATGCCCTGCAGCACTGAAGATCTGAGGGTAGCCTACTAAAGACTGTATAACTCGGTGTGAATATATAATTTGAATTATTTTATAACTATCCACACGTCTCCTCTTTTCCTTTTTCATCTTACATTTGGATCTCGCCAATTTGCCAGTGCGCTGGTGATGTGAAATAGAATAGGAGACTTGCGCTTCAGGCATGTTTCCGTGTGTTGTGTGTACTGTGTATAACGCTTACTTGTTAATTGCGATCCTTTGCATTCACAGACGTTTATATTGGTTCCCTTGCTGATTCATTAAAAGCAATACAAAACGCAGGTCAATAATTTGTATTGCCATCTTCTGTGAGAGTTCACATAGAACTTTTTGTAACTGCGGGTAACTAGTCCATTTAACTGACCTGAAACGGACTGATACCGGAGGTCATACATAGTGTGCACAACTTTAATCAGATTAGGTTTGCAATGGTTCATTGAGTAAAAGGCCAAAAGTATTCGACAGACGCGTGCTTACGAATGAACTGATTAAAGTCTGTCGGGTTGGTGAAATAATGTACAATCTTAGATTTCGATTTCAGATCAAATTTTCCAGCTGAAGGCTAATTTGTTAAATGCACCACACAGAATTTTCAGGGTACGGTAGTGACCGTCTGATTCTTGGGAACATTCCTTGTAGTGGGAAATCTCTGTGTCGAATTTTCAGACAAAAATACGAACATAATCTACTTCTGAACACAAATTGTCAGTAAAATCACGCACTGTAAAATTCGCCTGCTTTATTCTAAATTTTTCCTGCACCTACTCTGAATCAACGATATCGTTCACTTGCATGTAACAACCACATACGATGTCCGGTTGTCAATTATTTAACGTGCGCTGGTAATGCATCAGTGACTAGTCCTTGTCACTAGGGGGTGTCCGAATGGGATTGATGCAGATGCATACATTCTACGACAGAATTCTAGGACCGTATACGTGTTCCGTGATATGCGAAGCGTTTGAAAGCATCTGGAATGCCTCGTCGAATCATTTTGAAACCAGAACTCTCAGCACTACAGAAGGCGTTGGAAAAGGAAACTACCGGCCTAAACCTTGAATACACGAGCGAATCAGGTGCGGCCTGGTGCTCCGATAGCCAGCCAGTCAAATAGGAGGATCGCATGACTCCTATACCTAATTTTATTCTTAAAAGTGTATTGAGAGGTGCTGAAACAATGTGCTACAGTCGATACATTAAAAAATGCTTTAATATGATTATCCCATTTCCATTTGAGAACTTCCACCACCTCAGGTCAGCAGTCCCTCTCTTGTATTCCTACTGCATTAGTGTATCCAGGAGGTTCGCAGTGAAGATCCGATCTTGAAGTTGACCACTCCAGTTCCTTCATAACAAGGTGCAGAAAACAACTAACTCTGAGGTTGAAACCTCGTATCACTACGTTGTCATGTTCAAGTAGAGCTTCCTTCTGGTTACCCTGACAATTAGAATGAACAACAAGCGGTCGAAATCCCAAAGTGCCTCGAATGAGACACTAGTTGTCATTCAATATACGACTTCATCCTTCTGCGGAACGGGAGGACATTCCAAACCTGTAGAGTTTTTTCTATCATCATTTCATCTGAAACTGTTTTGAGCCACATGAATGCCACATTGATAATAACTCCAGGCACCCGGCCAGTCCAAGTTTGGCTTCATGCCATCATTGAGGATTACACTACTATAACAATGATTCTATGTGTTATATCAGTCAAAAATTGATCAAACTAAATGTGAAGTTGAGTGATTCAGAAACATCAATCAGTTCTACCCTATAGGTGAGCAAATTTTTGGCTGTTCTGGTAGGAAATCAATCTATTTCACCAGCACTGATGCTCTAGTAGTCGGAATTAAGATCCAACGCCCCTTCACTGTCGAAATGATCGCAGTAAGTGCTTTTAGTCTATTCACAAAGGTTACATATGAGTCCTGGAAACGGTGGATTGAAGTAACCGTCACGCACTACCCCATAAGCTAGTACATTTCATGAACGGTTGGAACTATCATGTTCTCAGTACTAAACAGCTGGTTCTAACGTGGCATGTTGTTTTCGAGCTTAACTGCTTAACTTGAGAAAGACCGATCTGAAACTTTGTACTTTAAAATAGTTCGCTGCGACCATGGCTCGGTGGTGGGACTTATTAATTGCTGATTTTCTAAGGGCTAACTAGATATTGCCTGCATGTTAATGGTCCTATGATAAGGTAGCAGGGTTTTTTGCGCATAATGTACTTCACTTCAACCTGACAAAGTGAAATTCAAGGATCGACCTAAATTTGTGTTCTCGCATCTGTTTTAAAAGTTCCGGTGAATGGTGGTTATTCTTTTGGTATGGATCATTAAAAGGGTAGGCGTTGGTGGGTACAGTGTGTGGTACAGTGACAACTTTAATATACGTGGAAGATATTCCGTTGTCCCCCATAAGCAATAGATCTAGAAGGTCACGATAGTTCAGAACTTAAAACAGTGGACTTTATTCACTCTGTTCGTAGGTCAGAACCCCACGTTTGTTCACACACAGCACCTTTCGTGAGAAATCTGAGTAGTACATGATCCTTAATAAAAATTTATATCATTCTCAGGTACTCCAGTCGACTAGCTTGTGGCTAAGTAAATCTGTTCCAAGAAATACATTTATTGTGGCGTCGCAAATGCATGCTTGAATGAGGTTATTGTAGGGACGCATTGTTCTACGGCTGCAAGTCTCCACCCTAGTCTCAGAACCATAGGTGGAATCGACTAGGGCAAACCAGTTTGGAATGAGCTTATCAGGAAGTGGGTGATTGTTGAAGCAGACGACACTTTAACCAAAAAATTCATCCAGCACTACAAGCTAAAGTGGCTAGGCCATGCGTTACAAGTAAAAAGTTACCGCTTACAGAGCTAAGGGCTGTTTTATGGCTGATTCGGAGCTGGTCAGGAAATAACTCCAAAGACTAGAATGAGGAATGTTTCGAAATGTCTGCGCGCCGTTGGTGGTGTTTACCTTCTAGGACAGAGTCCAGTTGACTGTCTCTGTGCTTGTATGGGGACGGTGAACAATGTGGCGGCTAACCGATATCAATGGAGTTCCTGCGGTGAGGTTGTGTCTAGATTGTCCGACTAAGTGTTGGGGTTTAGGCATCGGAGATGCCTTAACTAGGCTGATTCTGAATCATTCTGCTTGTCTTATTTTTCGTCTTCCCATTTCGACGACTTGTACAAACGAATTGGTATGGTTTTACGACAGTGAGGCAGCAGTGTTCTTATCTTGTGTTGTCAGTCGTGATGACGGTGCTGATTTGGTATGCCTGCGCACTCTGTACAGTACCACCAAACTGTGAACAATTTGCCGTTGTTTGTTAGCTCATAGCCATCCATCTCAGTGATAATGTAATGTTTCATGCCCATAACCAATAACAATAATATTTCTGCTTCCCGAGAAAGGTGTACACTTGGAAGACTCCAAAAATTAGTCAAAGTTAACATTTTTAAGTCAAGACAGTTATTTCACGTGTTTAGCTGCGATCTATGGGAGCAAGCTTATTAGGTGTTATTATTCACCACGTTATTTGAAGAGTGAGCCTTTTCTCACTTTACGAACAAAAATCTTCGTTGTCCATTAAGACGTTGCTCTGTGCCAAAAGCTTCGGCGGTTTGTTTGACGGGGCACGGGATCTCGGGAGCACATCAGGATATTATTCTTTATTTTCGTTTTGAGGATGAGTTAGGTCGTGTTCTTCTTCGATTTGAGTGATGTTTATTACTACTTTGCCTTGTTACTCAACATTGTAACGATTGCAAAGTGGGTTCGTTCTTTTTGTCTCCTAATATTTAGCTGTGTATCTTTACCCGTCTTCACTAACTTCACCCTCTTTCCTTTTTTAAAAAACAAAGGACATTCACCCGGTCCCATGTTCAACCGAAAATCCGGAAAAAGGGTGAAAGCACACACGGATATCGTAAGGTGTTTTGCACAATTCGGGCAGCGGCTTTATTCTGCCGGGTACGGTATAATGTTGTTTCTTCCACAGTGTCCTATGCAACTTGCAGATAACCCCGCAATCCTGTTGCGTAATAAGCAAAAAGCCCGGCACTAACGAAATCAGTGAGACACTCATTTCAAAATCAATCTGGTTCCAACGGGAAACTCAAAAGAATTCAAGCCGAATTTTCCGTTCGTGATTTTCTCAATAGTTGTGTCTCATCAAGTAAGCATACTGAGGCGACCCAAATAACCTATGTCAGAAACATGAGGCTACTCTTGGGCTGAGTATTCTGCCGTGCAATTTCATGATTAAGGGTTTCAAATGGGATGTAGTTGAGTCTCCATTCACAGCCAAAGTAACTTGCCAATGGGTGCAATTCGCCATATGTAAACAATTTGTTTTGGAAGAACATTAGGTTAATAATAACCCAAGGACTACGCCTGATTGATCAAATCTAAGAAAAACTAACCCGGCCGTCAGTTGCCGAAAGATCTTTACCAGCGTTTTAAGTAGGACGATCTGTTAGGATAATAAAGAAACTTACTCGAAAAATGCCTATCAACGGTGACTAAACCTTCATTGATTTTCCAATATACATAGAAAAAATCCCCACATCAAGCCGGAATGGAAATACGTCCTCTTCTACGTCTACGCATATCTTTGGTATATTTTTATCTTTTCTTCTGCAGCACTAAATGGATTCGAGCAGTTTAAATCTTTGGTCTGATGGAAGTCTTGTACCATGTGTATACCAACTAATAACTCATTTGTCTCTCCTCACTTCTGGTTTACACTGCGAAGGACCATCAATACAAAATAATTTCCACTTTATCTTGGGATATTTCTAGTTGTCTGCAAAAGATTCCTCCTGTAACACTTTGAACCCTAGCAATAGGGGATGGTGACGCGAGGCAGTCATAATCTTGAAAAAAACATCATTTCTTAATTCTCCTCATTTAGTCAAACATACAGCCGGTAATTAGACCTTGTGGCAAACGCTTCCAGCGCGGTGACGCAGTAAATTTTATATTATCAACTCACACAGAAGTCTAACACTTTTTTGCTGGTACTTCTTACTGCTCCTTTCGAGTAAACAAATCAAAAATTTACTCAAAAACGAATTTCTGCAGAACTGTGCAAGAGCTTTTGTGGTTAGAACTGCTTAGTGAGGACAGATCTTATGGAGGCTCATATTAATGAGAGATCTGCCAGCCTTACATCAAACGACATGCGTTAATATTTCAGAAACGCATTTTGTAGAAAAACATATTATTTATTCAGTGTTTTTGCTGCAGATGGAACAATGGTCAACACATTTCCATAAAACGGGTGTCAGTGCAAAAACTATGCTAGCCATCTGTGAATCAATACGAGAGCGGAGAACAGACCAACTTGCTTTGTTTATCATTAATTTAAAAACTCGTGTTATTTAACTTGAACCGAGTACTGCTAGGATTTTTAGCAAGTTGTGCTTGGGTAGGTAGGTTTTAGTGTAGTCCAATGTAATCGAAGCAGGCTAACTATATAGATTGCTTGATGTGCGCGTTTAACGCACGTTTTTTTTTGCTTCAAACCATTCTGCCAATAAAGAGTTACGGGATATGCATAGATATTTTCCCCATAATCAATTGGCCTGTCAACCAAGGAAGACGACATCAAGTTTGCCTTGTCTGTTTTAGAATAAGCGTGATAAGCCATGCATCTGCTGAGTTAAGCCAGTAAACTCAGTGCAGGTATGCACCATATTTTGCACGGTTTGTAAAAATTTGAGGCACTCAGTTTGGTATCAGGTCATATCGCACCTTCTGTGTGCCAGTATTTACGCATTACAGACGCCAGAATACCACCTAAGATACACCGCAAAACCAAGAAGTCCTAGTTTGTACTTTATGAACTGATCCTTTTGTAATAGTCTAACTTATTTTTTTTGTCATCACACTGTCTTCCTCGGTCCAGGTAAATCATTTAAATTTTGTTTTCTAACTACACTGCAGATTTGATAGACGCCTTATCGTATTCGATACTAGTGGAGCGATGGAAGAACTACTCCCAATCATCAAACTTGTCCACAATGCACACAATGGAATCATCTCATGTCTAACGACTGCTCGAGTCAGTAACGCAGTGTTCCTGCTACTTAGCGGAGGGTTCGACCGCATAGTGAAAATATGGGATGAAGAAGGTCAGCATTTACACACGATTTGCTCCTTTACGCAACCTGTATTAGGTGAGCGCACTTGTATTTCTTTATCAAAAATTTTAGCCTTTAATGTAAAAAGGACTAGGTCACTTTACACATAAAAACAATAAAGTGCTAGACAAATACGGCTACAAGAGATTGAAGCCATCTATCACCCCATGAGCTGACCCAACGGTGCTGGTCGCATAAATTTTTCCATATTTGGTAGCCTGGTTGTTGGAAACCCGAACTGAGTAGAACCTCTGATTAAATTTTAAGACACTGTTTACTGGTGCTGATGCAGAAATTCGAACCAACAATAATTTAGACCCTAAAATTGTCTTACGTGAATATCGGTCACGACCACTAAACTACCGCTACGCACCACTGTGCTCCCCTATAACGCACTGATGATATTACCTCGACTGGTGACGAAACGTTTGCAATCAAATTGCCCAGCTCGGCGAACAAGCCAACAACCATCTACGCTACCTGATCTACCGACATTTTCCTCTATAGAAAACTTTCAGAATGTGTCTTACCCTTCTATCATGCATGGGGATACTCAAAAATGCAAAGAAAAGAAAACACGTCATAAGTCAACTGCGCCTGAGACGTTAACACTATAGGAATCAGTCAAGCAGCCCTAAGTGACTGAGCGGGTTCTGCATAGCACTATCTCCTGTCTACCTGCGTGTGACTACGGAATCCGCCACCTTCAACTGAAAAGGATAGGGTTTAACTACAGGCCGAAATGTTGGGGGATTCGTGAAACTCACTCCCAGTGATTCATAACGGTGATGAAAATATAATGTAGCGCTTCTCGGATTTAAAAGGTGTGGAGGGTCAAAACCATATATAATATATTGGGTGTATCACATTTCTGGGTTACATTCTTTGCAAAATCAGCACCTTTATTGATTTTTAATTTGGCAATTGATATTCCGTGCTGAAATTCATAAATTTCCTACTTGTATAAATTAACGTATCTCTGATTCCTTTAGTACTCGCAACTGGACTTTGCGCTGCCGTGAACGCCACTGCTGGCCTATTAAGTCCTGAAAAGAGGGTATTCATTTGCAAGTGGACGGTTTCAAAATTATCAGTACAATTGTGGGATACCTAATGCTTCGTAAAAAACGAAGTTGAAGACAACGTCAATTAAGATTGCGCACTTAGTCGTGATACATCGTTTCTCACTTTTTTCGGAATAATCATAGATTGTTCGAGTTTAGTCATGAAACTGGAAGGAATACCCTACAATATTAGTGGAGCTCCACTCTCCACAATGGGATTTTAGGAGCATAGTCAGTTTGGGCTGAAATACACTTTCGTCTTAAAAAGTCAGCCAGAAGTATCCGATTTTAGATTAATATAACCGCACGCAAACAAACGCAACTAGGTATGTGTGCCAAACGGGACGCATCTCAAGTTTTATCTAATATTCTTCTGTAACCCTTCCACCTCAAACGCTTGCATTTAAATTTTATGTTTGTAACCATAGTGGATAGTTAAGAAAACTGCAACAGTTTCTACAGGAACGCACGAGTCTGATTTCCGACCGAGTTATTACCAGCTTTTGACGCTAATTACATACCTGAGCTGCTTTTTGCGTCAGTTTGCTTAAGCGGTTCCAAGAACTTTGGGAACATTTGTGTTAGTTCCCAATAAACCATAGGTAGGCCATGTTTAGTTGGTTAAACATTGGTGCTTGTACTCAGAGTAAATTTCTTGGATTATATTTACAGCTTGAAATACGTCCTGTTTTATGGCACTCTTGAGAGCGCTTTAACAGTTTCCTTTGGATTTTTTTACTGCGCAGAGATTAAACAGTTCACGCTTATTATCCTGCAGACTAAATTAGAGTTTCGAGGAATTTAGAAGATAACGATGAGTGCAGCTAATGAATATTTACATATACGTACGTGTATGGCATCTCAAAAGTCTCAAATGTAAGCGTTTATATGCTTTCCGCGTGAACTATGGATCCCTGTTTGTTTTGCATCAGATATTGCCTACATTCCGGCAACCCTAACCCTTTGGGTTGCATCAGTTAAGTCTGATGTTCACATTTTCGACGTGAGGAGCTACGAAGAGGTAAGCTTTTGAAGTAATTCACATCCCTCAAACTGGGTCTCCCTTTCTCAGAAATAAGGGCAGCTGTTCATAGCATACCGTGAATGTAATTAAGCGTAATCTTCTGTAAGCATCTGAAGTGGAGTTGATCGCATCTTAATGGGACAAGAGAAGCAAGCACATACCTTTATTTAAGTAGGACTCTATATCACCATTAATGTTATTATTTTTACTTACAGCACCATTAATATTGGTAGGGATTGGCTCAACGCACTTCATCTCTATCGGATCGTACTACTGAGAGCCAGCATGGGAGCAGAGGCCATGATTCAATGGACTTGGGGACAATCTTCTTGATCCGAAGACCTTGCACTAAATTTGGATTAGTGTGTGCAGAAAATCGTATGACCGATGGAGTATATTATTCCGAGGCTTTGGCGATGGCGCGCGAGTGTTTACATCACTGGCTAGATTAATCTACGATACTCTCGTCCCAAAAATTATGCGCCTTCTTGACCATAGAAGTCGTATGGCTAAACTCTGAAAAGCACGCGCATTTATGAGCAATACTTCTCAACTCTTAGTAGACTTGTTGCCGGATGACTTGCAGACAAAGCCGACTTGCCTTGAACGAATGGACAAGTATGGTTTTAAACTGAACTAGAGACACTTTCAAGTTGCGGTTATTCCCTTTCGGGAGGAACATTTGAAAAACAACCAGCTACCTCTGTATTCCGTACAGTAAACTGATCAGAACCAAGATAGAAAAGGTCTCGATTCAGCATACTCTTTCAGAGTGGACCAGTTCAACAAACCCGCGTGTTTTAGTTGCATGCTCACATTTAATGAAACTGTTTATCATCTTGAATTGGTTTCCAGTAAAGATATGTTGCAAATTTTTAGTACGTACTGAAACCTCGGCTGCGGTGCTCAGTTTCTTCCAGTAGTGTCCGCGTGAACTTTCGGCATGAGAAAGCAAACTATTGGATGAGGGGGCCAGGTCAAAGATGTTAAACTTCATTCGTCAATTTCATTACAGCGACCAACTTAAAACTCCTATTTCGTCCCGTGAAGACTTCTCACGTAACTGAGTTATAGGACGGCTATGTTCACTCCAGTTTGCTAACATACTGTGTGTGGGGCACTAGTGCAAAAACCCATTTTCCTTAGAAAAAAATACATTGTTATTTATATGTAATCCCAGTGTGTCTGACCACTCAGCTCCTGCCGAGTAGAAAACAAAGTTATAGAGGTTCTCAAACTGTAGTATAACGTTTTTTCACCACAAAGCTCCACTCAATTATCTCGGTTTGAAGCGGCTGAATATACCCGTTGTAGTCATGAGAACGAAGAAGGTAGCGAACAAAGCTTGTTTTCTGTGATTGTTCATCTTGGCTAATACATCACAAATTTATATGGTAGCAGGAATCACGTGGAAGAGGTTAAGATCGGGGCTACATACACTTTAGAGAAATAGAATTCAAAGGAAGGGGGTAGGGTGAGGGGTAGGTCAATGGGGCACGGAGTCAAGTAAGTGACGTCCGTGTCAGACAGACTTGTAGGACCAGATGTTTCGTTAGCCAGTTCAAGTTCAGAGGTCGCACAAGTTTCTTTTGGATGCAAAATTGTGGTTGTTGTTGTTTGCCAACATGCCACTCACCGAGATAATAGACTACGTTTGTTACTTGATTGAGTGCAACGGTAAGGATATTGGAATTCCCACTTCGGATATTAAAGAACTCCTGCTCCTTTGTACCTACAACGTTCTGTTCACTCTCAAAAATCAAATTTATCGACAGAAGGACGGGGTCGCGACGGGGTCTCCTCTAGGTCCCCTATTGGCAGATTTTTTCATGACCAAGCTAGAGACTCAAAAATTAGATGCACTCATTGGACGGTTAACATTATATCGCCGCTACGTAGACGACATATATGTTCTTGCCGATGAAACCATCAGCACAACAGACGTACTAAGCAGTTTCAATTCAGTCCATGCTAATATCAAGGTTACTATCGAATTAGAACAAAACGGCCAGTTAAGCTTCCTCGATGTCAATGTTAAAAAGAAGACCGACGGGACCATAGAACGCAAGGTCCACAGAAAGCAAACGTGGAAAGGTCAGTATACTCACTTTGATAGCTTCGTTCCGTTGCAACAAAAACGCAACCTAATTAGATGCCTGACCGAGAGAGCAATGAAGATATGCTCACCCGAATGCTTAGAAGAGGAACTAAAGTTCTTGGGACGCACATTCCTGCAGAACGGATATCCTGAAAGGTTCGTACTGAAGACTATGGAAGCCGTTAAACCCAAACCTACGGAATTTTCTGTTAGAAAGAAGCCCGTATACATGAGGCTTCCATTCAAAGGTGACTCGGTTGCTGAATTAATCATCAGAAGGCTTAGAAACTCCGTTGATACGACATACTTGGCAGCTAATTTATGTTTGAGCCTCAACTCCAGCCCCACTATCAGATTCTGCTTGAAAGACAAAGTGCCGCGTTCTACCACCAGCTTTTGCGTGTACTCATTCGTATGCTCGTGCCGAGCATCATACGTTGGTCGTACGACAAGGCATTTGTCGGACGGAATACGAGAACACAATCCCGTATCTCTCATATACCGGGTACCTCTGAACGGATCACGACTGGCATGATCCAGACTAATATCGATCGCAGAGGCGATAGGAATACGACTGCTGGATCCACAACTTTGCATCCAAAAGAAACTTGTGTGACCTCTGAACTGGCTAACGAAACATCTGGTCCTACAAGTCTGTCTGACACGGACGTCACTTACTTGACTCCGTGACCCATTGACCTACCCCTCACCCTACCCCCTTCCTTTGAATTCTATTTCTCTAAAGTGTATGTAGCCCCGATCTTAACCTCTTCCACGTGATTCCTGCTACCATATAAATTTGTGATGTATTAGCCAAGATGAACAATCACAGAAAACAAGCTTTGTTCGCTACCTTCTTCGTTCTCATATCTCTGTTTTTATATTCACATAGTGTGTCCAATTAACCATTGCTCAAACAGCTGTTCTGTAGAACTCCTACCGAATGCTGATTCGAAATGTGTAGGAACAGTCATCCCAATTTTCATGTGCATAAAGACATGCCCTTAATAGTTCGTCTGTAGTATAATTTTCAAAAGTGAGGAGATTCATAGGGCGTAACCTTGCATCGAAGGTGAATTATTTTGGGATCACAGCTTATACACTCATCTGCATACCAATTTGGTTTAGACAGGAAACTCACCTGGAATCTAGCTGAATCTGTCTTTTGTGATTCAACTGGTTTCCAAATGAGTCTGCCGTCAGGAACGAATTGGTATGTAGATGAACTTATATGTCGAATTTCGCGCCACTGGGGTTCAAGCAGAAAATAAGGCTGACGGGAAATTCGGAGACTAAGCTTAATTGATGGGCCCCAAGTAGGGTAAAACCGGTCGTGAGCTGTCGGAGTGCTTTTAGCAAATTCATGTGTAGTGTATTTCGTCTGGCCTGAGTTCAGAAATGCGGTCCATTTCTTATATTGTAATTATAAATCCTTTTTCAGCGCACATAAAATTCAGACCGCATCACCAACTAATTCATATAAATTCGTGTTACATTACATTTTCTTAGGGAGTCATCGATTTTAACCTTTGCGTGAACAGTGGTTTTCTTTGACGCCGTCACTGTTTCGAGTTTTGGTCCACTTTTACGAAGACCAGTTGTATATTTTGTCTACGAAAGTGCCTGCTTTTCGCTACTACATTGTTCCAAGTGAGGTGACCACAAGCTTAAACTGATGTGATTTTGTGTCCAAATATATGCAAGTAGTGCAAGTTGTCATACTTTTGGGGTTACTACAAAATACTTGTCAACCTCAATGATCCATTTATAAAGATGAAAAACAATAGTCACTCCAATGCAACAGTCTGTGATGTAGGTTATATGTTTGTTGTCAACTTCTAACCAAGTGGTCAAGGTAGATTTACCGTTCAACTTCTTTGTCCGTTGTTAGTGCGGCTAAATCATGCCGGACAACCGCAAATTTTGCTAATAGGTCTGCTTTCATCGAGAATGTCTTCAAATCTTCGGCTAAGTTGAGTAGATGCGTTACTGGATAGTCCCACATTCTTGTTGATGGTAACCTTGAGTTTCTTTGCGTGAAGTGATGTTTGGGAACTGTATGGAGTCCACGGATATTAAGTGTCCAGTGTACTACTACGAACAGGTAAAACCTAACAATCGCTGTGGTACAAGAGAATTTTCCGTGTTCACAACGTGGTGAGTACTTTAAAAACGACGGGCGATCCTCCCACCCATGCATAATGCTGACACATCGCTTGCAGATTCGGGTCAGGACAGTAAATGTCGAACCTGAAAATTGTACAGAACGGGTTGATATCTTGTAGTCAAAAATGAAGGTTGGAAACTTCATGCTCATAACAGGAGGATAATCCCCAAGAGTTGCGAGGCCCAAAGCAAGGTAGCAGAGGTCTTTCCAAGGACTAATGGCGCAGTGATCGAGTAAATATCAGGACTTTCAAGGGTGAGAAATAAATTGGCGACTATCCCGGTGCACAAAACCGTTTCTGTGCTATCACGTGATTTAGTAGGAATTAACGTTTTGCTATTAACTCTGAGAAAAACTGGACTAGCGTTGAAGATCCGGCGTAGAACCTGTGCTTGAATTAAACTCCTGGATATTTTTGGCGTGTTGCGTCATTTTTTCTGTTTTTGGTTCAATTTGTCATCGCGAAGTCCCTCATACACACTGTCTGATCTAAACAGTTGACTTGTTAATACTGGCCCGTTTTTCAATTTCATTATTTGCTGCATGGCTACCATGTTTCATATCGACTCTATGCATTTTTGTATTCTCGCCTAATGCTAGTGAAGTCACACCCGAGGCGTGCCGTTTCGATTCACTACGTTAACTTCAGCAGCCTATTAAATTTCTCCCACCAATTGTACTTTGACTTTGATATCGACTTGATAAGTTTGAACATTTTGACAAAGACGGCCTTACCTTTCACCTAGATATTCAGTACTATCTCCGGTTAAAGCAAACTCCATCCGACTCCTCAAATGACTTCTTTAATTGAAATACCGGATAGAAATAGCAAATATTCGTAAAGTTAGCCAATATAGTTGTGCAATTAATCATTGCTGTAGTTGGATAACTGACTACGTATATACATAGGTTGCTTCGTTTTGCTCTATAAACATCTATTTGAAGAAATCAATAATAAGATGATCATCTGTGATTCACCTGAGTCTCAGCTGAGCTAGGTGACATATGGTTACGAATCAAAAATTATCTAACAAATTGTAGTATGACATCTGGAAACTGGTAAACAATTTCATCCTTTCATTCTCAAGGTTACCCATATGTGTGGAACATTTGATGGTTCGCCCTCGAACGTATACGTTACTCAGATGCGTCTGCTGAAATTCTGCCCGGAAGTCAATGTTCTAATAGGTAGGTTGGACTACTCTGACTGAACCAATCACTGCAAGGCCTGGACCGACAGTAGAATCCTTCTAGGTGGGATCTCACAAAGCGCTTGTTTGTTGAGAGAAACTTGCTATAAAAAGCTCTCTTAGTGTCAACTGTGATCATCCGTAAATTTGTCTTCTCATATTCAACGGCCTTTTCATTAAAACTTATTACACGGTCCACTAGCCACCCATGACTATTCATTTTATTTGACGTTTGCACTTACCACTGACTTTAACTAGTCGAACCATCGACTAAGCTTACTCTACCTGCATGTCACAAAAACCCCTCCAACTTGCAACACTTGGGTTAATATTCCCACCCCGTTGATAATATTAGAAATTTATGAACAGACGAATGGTTGGCATCCAATCAGAGGTGGTGGACAAAAATGGTTGTGAACTGCTAAGGATTGCATAATTTTTTGCGAAGGTGAGTAGGATACTGTGGGAAAACTCTTGACACTTAAACCCTGGGGAATATATTCGTGCGTTACTTAGACCCACAAAAAACGACACTATTATGTTTGAGAAAATACTCAAGAGTTTAAAAATCTGACAAGAGTCGTCCTAGGCTATGCTCCCGAACCATCGACTAAGCTTACTCTACCTGCATGTCACAAAAACCCCTCCAACTTGCAACACTTGGGTTAATATTCCCACCCCGTTGATAATATTAGAAATTTATGAACAGACGAATGGTTGGCATCCAATCAGAGGTGGTGGACAAAAATGGTTGTGAACTGCTAAGGATTGCATAATTTTTTGCGAAGGTGAGTAGGATACTGTGGGAAAACTCTTGACACTTAAACCCTGGGGAATATATTCGTGCGTTACTTAGACCCACAAAAAACGACACTATTATGTTTGAGAAAATACTCAAGAATTTAAAAATCTGACAAGAGTCGTCCTAGGCTATGCTCCTACCCACTTTCGTCACACAGACGAAACCGGTCAGTTACTTGAAATCAAGCTGTATCTTTGGAATTCTATGAAGAGTACAGGTACTTGCGGTTGCGATTCTTGACGTAGTTTTTGGAGCTCAGTCTGTGTCATTCTTCGCTGTTTTATGGCATAGCATGAGTGTATATTAAAGTGAGCCTTTCACAGCGTTCGGCAATGAGTCCAAGGAGGTTATCTACGTGTGAGCACACTGTTCAATCGTGAGACCGCACAGGATCATTCACAAAAGGATTATACCATATGAAAAGCCGTCTTTATGAGCGCTTTATGAAAGTGTCGTGAAAGCATAATTAGAGCTGATGAAAGATATGAGACCGGTCGCATGCAAATAACAGTATACAAAACAAACTAATTTACTGGTCAACTGAAGATAACCATTAGAAAACCATTGGTGCGAATTTTCGGTCAAGCAACACCAAGTACACAAACGAATTGCGTCAGAGAGCATATAGCAAGTTATACCTCCATCGATGCCATCCTGTAGCGGTATAGCTTGCTTTTTCCGTTGATGCATACCGTTCGTGAGCGGTGTGACTGTGTGGAATCCAAAATCAGTTTGCACCCGGAAGAGAACCTACTTAAGAACAAGTTAGCTCTAAAATGGTTCAGACAATTAGTTGCTTACTGGCAACCACAAAATTTTCGTCTGATTTCTCACTGATCCTGTTGAGAAGCATGCTAATTATCAAGCCATCTGCATAGGGTTTTACTGAATTCCACCTAACTAATTTTCTCCCAAAATGGCTAGTACCTATTGTACATCTTATATTCTCAACAAAGTCTGCCAATGCGGCCATTGTTGTCTGGCTAGTGGCAATCATGAATAATTGACAAGTTTCTCACAGATGTTTCAAGTAAGTTAGCTCACCTGAAAAAGAATAGTTTTGGTTTATAAAAATCACTTGGCTACCTTTAGCACAAGATTTGAAGAGACTCTGGATACGCAACTCAGTGTAACTAGGTTAAGATTAACTCGTTAGTGAAATGATATCTATAACTTGTGTACAAATGCCCTGAATAGGCAAAACCAGATTTTCAAAATTCAAGTTGAATTTTTGCTTTCCGGTGGTCTATAGTTACCCAAAATTAGTGACGTTTCACTTCTTGATACTGATTTAGTAGCAACAACAAAATATCGTACTGTATGCAATCTAAGGGGACGTGGTCCGTCGAAAGGACTAAATTGGTAATTTAAATTGGTAAATTCAGTGGTATTACTTCGTCCCATTCTATTGTTCTTTTAACACTTCGGCGAAACTCTTACTGTCTTGAGTTCTTTTTAACTTCCCTCTACAGTACTGATACTGCACTCTGCTCCCTCAAAGTAAGGACGTTGCTGAAAACTTACTAATTTCCATTTGATTGCGTTCAATTTTACTAACAATTAGCTGTACTTTTCTTTTGAACTTTGTTGGGCGTTAAACACTGAAGGAACCTCTATTATTCCCATCTACAGGATCGACCCCTCGCGATCATCTCGTCAGCTGGCAATACAACTCCACCGCCAGTGTTTCACGAATAACCCTGGATTCCGGTTTTCAGTGTGCGACTGCGCGTAAGTACATTTACAATTGGGTTATTACTAATATCCAGCTAGAATGTGATTACAGGATTTGGAACGAACACCGTGCTATTACCCATGGAGCAATGCACACTTTGAACAGAATCCTTAGGTTTACGATTGAATGGAGGCAAGACTAATAACCAACCGTTTCCCATGGTTAGGAGATGTTTTGTTTATGATACGGATTATCACTTCTATCCCAAAAGGTTGCTTTCAGTTCTTCAGCTTTTGTAAATCATTTCCGTTTTTCGATAGTTGCCCTGTTAGTATTTGGTATTTTTGGCGTTTTTCATCTGTGGCAAACATGCTTCCTTTCCAGCTGAAGATAATCCAGAATTCTTCTACACACTGAGCACAGATAACCAAATGCTTAGATGGGAACGGAGTGGAACTTCACATTTTGCTTTTGTGTAAGTTGTCGGGCATTTTAAATTTACAGAAATATCAAAATATTACTTGTAGTAAGGCCTAATTTTATTACAGTGACTCAAAATCTTGCATTCTGAGGACTGGTACCTTAACAAAGACGGTAAAATGCGACGGTCTTATGGATCAACGCTGTTTGGGCCACCGAACAGATGTGTGCAAGTAGTGAGACACCAAGGGATTGTGTGAATACAAAACGCAATATTGTCTGAGCCCTTGAAGCCAATTTCATTGCACGACCATTCAAGAATGTTGCTAACCGTTCAGGCATAACGGTATACTAAAGAAGATAAGAGCGAAAGATAGCAGCATCTCTATAAGGAGAGAGGACGAATTTGTTACAATTTTATGACGTATGACTCAGAAGTGAGGTCCAAACGGAGTCCGCCCCAAAAGTGATTAGCCTGACTTTAATCTTTGCACGGATTCCACTAAAAGCAGTGTAGCTAAGTTTTCTTTTGTAGCGGTTGAGGTTCGTGATACAAACTTCCGTTCGTACGGTATTTATCCAGTTGTTCTTCCGAAAAGGGATATTTCTAATATATTTACTTTGTTAAAACAAGGGGGCATTCTGGAGAACGGTCGCTCTTTAGAGAACTTTATCTATGAAAAGACAATCATAAAGTGAACATCATGCTACGCATGATAATACAAACCACCACATTTAGTCTTGTTCCAACCTCTCGGCATCTGCTTTAATCGGCACTTGGTTTGGTCAAAATATGCGACACTACCAAGACCAAAAGCAAGTAACAATGTAGCCCAATAGGCATGATAACAAATTGACAAAACAGTGACAGAAGTGCAGCGCATTAAGAAAATTTAAAGATGCGTACGCACGGCAAAATGATAGTAGACTTAATTTTGTGTCTTATTTGAAGTTCCCGAAACTGGGTGACGCTGAACTTTATTGAGCACGTAATGTTCTTACACAGATGTATTGTTCATGGAGCTTTGTCTCTTTTAAGCAAAGAATATTTCGTAAACAATCAGATACTTCGTGACTATTTCCCACCTGTCCAAACGGACAGTAAATCTATCATTTTCAGTGGAGGGTAGAAATTTCATTAGTTATTTTTATCCGTTTGTTTTCCACAGTTTCGAAGAAATCATGGCTCACTACTCAATGGAAGAAAAACTCTCAGATAGCATTTATGAGCGACTAAAGAGTAGCATGTTCAAAGCCAAGGATCTCGAAACGTTTGAAACACTTTTGCCTCCGAACATTGTATTGAAGTGTCCACCAAAGAAAAACCCGATGACATTGAGGCCGCACGCAGGGCTGCATGAGAAACAACAAAACCCGAGTTTCACCGGGAACGTCATGTATACCACGAACCCTCGACTGATGACAGAAATTTCACTGATGGTCAATCATGTGCGTCACAAGATCACTTTCATTTCGTAAAACATGATTTTAATTTTTCAACGTTTGACCGTGTGGGGATTTGAAGTTTTGGCACACTTAGCTAAAAAGCATGCCTAAGACTCCTGAACATTATGTAACGCCGGCTAATTGAACTAATCTATTGACGAGAGACTATCACTTTAAAAGGAACGGGTGTTTCAACAGGACGATGAATAACATTATTAAATTCGTCAAATCGGCCGTTTTGATAAAACGTGTAACTTCTCCAGGAAGGTAACCAGGGAAGTGGCAGCAGCGTAGTAGCCAAACAGTAAGCAGACGTCGGGACAAAACCGACTCGAACTGGTAGTTTTGTTCGTCACACAAAATATATCGGGGAATTTTGGATATATAGCAGATCTTTAGGTAGCTTCAAATAACTGCATTTTGGTTACATCAAGCATGCATTTTTCAGCTTTTATTGACAGAAGATTGCGATCCCAAAAGGCTGTTGGTAGCGTACGCAACAGAGTGCTAGATTAGTCATTATTCATCACTACACACCAGAGATACTGCAAGCTGTTACGTTTTGCGGATGAATCAAGCTTAGCTAGGCGTTTGTAGAGCATAATTAAAGGTGTTTTAGACCTCTCCACGTAAACAATTCATTTCTATCATTGTCACTGGTGATTCTTTCTTCTGTTCTTATTGTGTGGGACGCAGCTGTTCGTTTTAGTATTTCCGTTTTGCGTCTATACCGCCTCATTCTGGTTTTGATCAGAACGAAAACCGCCCTTAGATCTTGTCCCCACTTGTCTTGTTCAAATTGACCACTTTGGTTTGGCCATCCTATGTTCACCTTGCTTTGAGTCGGCATTAACTTTGGATAGGCGTAACGTATCCTACCTACCTATTTGTACGATATCTCATTTGAAATTAGCTGTTTCCAAACCGGCATAATCCCACGTTTTAAAGTTTTTTATTTATTATTCCTTTGATTAATGTTATTATCCTGTTATTCCAATCATAGTACCGCATTCGTTGATAAGCCTTCATTGGAGTGACTTGACCTTTGGAGTTTTGCGCAGTGTCATGGGTGACCCTGAAGTTGCAGTATAGTAAACTTTGGCTGTGGTCAACATTACTAGCGTCATCTACCCATGACAATAACAGCAATTTTTGACAGCAGTCCAACGTCGCTCATTGGATTGTTGACTTGAAGTGAGCTTTACCGAGTTTACCCAACCATTTTTGTTTGCAGAATCGAAAGAAGGGTTTTCTTCGGGCAGTCTACATCGCGCAGTCGGAGACTCTCATTTGCTCTTGTGAAGATGGTGTTGTGTGTGAGTCCAACAACTCAGCCGATAATAAGATCTGCTAAGATATATTGCTTGAATTGAAACGAAGTATAGATAGATAGTAAGATAGATAGATAGATAGATAGATAGATAGATAGATAGATAGATAGATAGATAGATAGATAGATAGATAGATAGATAGATAATAGATAGATAGATAGATAGATAGGTTGGTCTGCAGACGGAGAGACAAGCAGAGAAGCAGGTGGATAGATCATAGGACACTCTTTTTATGCGAGAGTGAATTTGTTAGTAGATGAGTTCTCTCAGCTACGTTGTTTGAGCGGAATATAAATACGATTATGTTAGAGTGGACAGAATCGAATTGAAGTTTATAGATAACATCTTTTTGTCAGCGATGACAAATACCTTTACTGCTTTTGAGTATGGGCTCAAAAAGAATAACAGGCAAATTTAGCTGAAGCAAGCCGCTATAAACCGGAGATCAAGCTGGACTCAGTTTGGACCGTTGCCAAAATCAAATTTGTGTACAACAAAGAAAGTATTTGTCGAAGTATTACCGATTCGGGTTCAAATAGAACATTTGGGTGAGGGAAAACTTCTCATGGGCTTTAAGAACGACGAAACCGTTCGTGGGCTGCAGTGAAACCTACAGCTACCTCACGAGTAGTGTGTCACCTTTAGAGAACCACCGATGGTGGTTGAACAAATGGATTTCACCAAAGAATCTTACCTATATATTTAAGAAATCCTTCATCTGAGACGGCTCTAGGTTGCATATATAATCTAAATCATTCGCATCTTTGATATGCGCTTCGTAAGATTAGTTCGGCACAAAGTACTCTATTTTTTAGCATAGTATATGCACACTCTTATGTATAGCAGCAGTTTCTGAGCAATCCATATATTCACTATCTCCTCCCAGTGCATCGGGTTCAGTCGGTGAAAATTAAAACAGTCAACCAATCCATGAAGACCTGCTAAATATTATCAATTCTAAATAATTTAGCCCTGTAAAATGACCGGCTTCTATCTTCTTATCCTCCTAGCTTGTTCTCATACGTTTTTGTCATCACGTCGCCACAGACTTGAGTATCTGTGAATATCAAATTGCTTTAAAACCACTGCCTATACTGCTTCCACAGAAGTTGAACTTTTGTTGTATTATTGCCGTTTACCATGGAGATAACAGGATGGATTAACTTTTGTTCGATATTTTCTTGCTACCCAGATGTCTTTGCTTACGACTACCAGGGAACCAGAAGTTTTTTAATGAAAACTTTGGATACAGGTCGTCCTATATCTGACAGAACTGCATCAACTACTGCGAATCCACAACCGTTTTTCCAAACAGCCACAGATAACACTGCCCATTCAGAAAAACTTAGCTACATCTTCAAACAACTCAAAGCATACGAAAAGGGGAAAAGTAGAATTCCGCCGGAACAGACTTCAGTTGAACAGGCTGTAGAGAAGGGCAAAGTAGATGAAGTTACGCCCGATTTGTTTGAACCCTTCAATATCGACAATTCGGTGAGTATTTGTCGGTGACTTCCATCGTTTTGGAATAAAAGTTTTAGCGCAGTAGAATAATCACACCTCAACTTCCTTCATGTAAAGCACATTGCAATATATAAAAGTCATATAAAGACAACCTCTAGACAGAGGCTGCCCAGTCAATAAAACAGTAGAATGTTTTAGATGCAATACCAGCCATAAGGCGAGACACTTTCAGCCTTCTCTGATGAAGGCTAAAAATTGGACTTCTATCGTCCCGGTCATATTTAATTTCTAGGGAGGGCTTATGTCGAATCAGCCAGCACACGTGGCCTGACCTTGAAATCTCTCTTAGAGCCGGGACTATGCACTTACGACCGCCTTGTTATATGTACACGTCAAGGTAAAACCATACCCAAAAATAAGGCGTAATACCAGTTCGTGGTTAACTTTTCTTAACTATGAGTCCCGTCCTCAGAAAGAAGTAACATTTTGCATTCCTCAAGGGCAGTATTAATACGAAGCAAACAGCGCAGGCCAAATTATGGAGGCATTAAATACTTATCAACCAAGAGCCATAAGAATTGACATGCACAAAGGTCCAAGGGTATAATCATTATATCAGAAAGATTTTGAGACAAAGAATACCGTGAAGATCAAAGTATTCGTTTGAAATATTCTGATGGATATCTCAAGTCATTTGCACACAGTATGCTGCATATAGCGAAATTTCTGTAATGCCTGAGCACACGCCATTAAGAAATGATGATGATGATCTTTAAAAAGGATCTGGAACAGACCAGATCAGTTGACAGAGAAGTATGGTGTGCTCTCTGGCAGTTTATCACTTCAAAGGGGAAGAATGCATTATTAAGGGGTAAGCGGGAATTTACAAAGTGGCTAAAATGCCAATATGAGGGAGGTACAAGATAAACACTCGGACCTACACGAACGCAACTTTCTCTCCCTTATTAAAATTCAAAGGTTCACAAGCCGGGTCACCCATAATGAACAGTTACGCTTATCAGATTGCCACCTGCTAATTAAAAATGTTTGCTTGAACCCTTTCTTGGATATTCCTGTATTCATCGGTTACATGTCACGTTCACAGTCACTGAATATATCAGGGATAGAAATATGAACAGTAAAACTATAACGTTATAAAATATTTCACTAGTTCTCACTGATGTGAATTTGCTTGAATCATTTATGTACATTCAACAGTCTGACTCTAGCTCATCAACTGTTGTTGATTTGCCAGTCTTGCGTTGTAATTTCAGTGCGTAGCTGTTAGTGAATGCACTTGGTTCCCGCCAGGAAAAAAAAACATGGATCTAATGTCACGTGATATCCCCAAGAACGACAGCTTCTAACTTCGCAAAACAGGTTCTAGATTTGGCGTCGATATTTCAATGACTTTTTGTAACGCATACCAAGTGGGTCGCACAACCAGATGATAGTAGTAAAGAAGTATTGAGCATAAAGTGTCTTAGATTATAACAACAGCAACCGAAAAATCAGCGACACGATCACGCTTCATCTAAATGATACAAACCACAAGATCATCATGGTTTGATGCGCACCATCCAATTGGCAGAATGCAATACTGAGTGTGTATGCCTGAGTTCATAGCTATCGTACCGTGCAAAACATATTTCGCCCAAAACTAACATGAGTGGACCATTTCTTATCCTTTCTGCTCTTTTAGCTACTTCGAATCTTACTATCCCACTGCCTCACCAGTTCACTGTCCAACGTTCCTCGTGCGTATTTTTTACCTGCGTTTTTAACATTCAAATGGTACTTTTTTGTCGGATCAAGTGTCTGGTTGTCAACGAAACTGTACGTTCGCATCTCGATTCTTACCCGTGGGTATATTCACCTGAATTTGAAACAACTTGACTCTGACTTTATGCCAAAACCCAGGCAACTACGTAAACCAAAAGCTTACGTTCATTTATGCACGGCTTACCAGAGTTGCGAAAGGGGCGCCTTCCGAGGCTGATCTCTTATCGTGCATAAGGGTTGACCAGGTGTCACATAGAGTCTGCAGACGAAAGCTTCTAAGTTATTGTTTTTTCCCCTTTTTTAATATCATTACGGGACGAAAATAATTTATAGCCATGTCTCGGTAGTTGTTTTCCTTGTACATATGCATGATTCCCTGACGTGACGTCAGCTTAAGGTTACATGAAGCTAATATCACAGATGATGCCACTCAATGCCTCAATGCGACTGACATATCCAGGAGCAAACTTACATTTCTAGCCACCCGTCGTCCTATACGACGTCAGCGGAGTCTGATCCTAACACAGTCTACAATTTTTCTTGAAATTTGTGATTTCATCGAAGTCATTTGGATATCAAGGTGTGGATTATCCTTACAGTGCTGCGATCGTGAAGCACGAATTTTAACAGAATTTATCAGACCATTATAGTCCCCTTGACTGTCATACCGAAGGACAGAGAACTTATTCTACAAAACAGAGTTTATTTATTGGAAGCGAGGCGAAGGTAAAAAAAATCAACAAAACCAGACAATGCAGATATTATAACGATGAGGCATTATGGTGCATGTGGTCAGTTCCAAAGTCTGGTGCTGATTTGGATAGCCAATGATGAATGCTGTAAAAGCAATGGTACAATCAGGGCGGCTGTGAAGGAAAACAAGTTGAAACAAATTTTCTGTGGGATGGCTACATGGGAGACTGAAGAAAATTTCAGGAGTGCCAGCTTTTGGTTCGGACACGGGAAAATTCACCACAAAATTACAGAAGCACGCGGTCCAAATGACGTTGAAAAAGATTCGGTGAACGGATGAAGAGGAATGTGACGTTAATTTTAGGAGGAATCCTTCCTCAGAAAATAAAAGCGGGCTGAATTTGAGGGTTTCGTCAACCAAGTTGATAATACTGGGTTGGAATCAGATTCATTGATTTTGCGGTATGATTAACCAACAGACCAGCACAAAGTTATTTCAGCTGCCACCAGATCGAACATCCATAACCACAGCAGTCATTCACATAAAAGTCGTTTCTCGACCAAAATGCTTAACCTGACGTTGTTTGGAAATACCTTCAAAATCATGTGGCCATGAAATTCCTTTGTAGTGTTGCTTTCCATTATGCCCGTTGATTAGGGATGCGACAAACTATTCCTTTCGTATGAGAATTCGTATTTCATTGTGAAGTGTCCCCTGACGCAATCTATAACTTTGTCCTCGTGCATTAAAAAGACTTCATCTTTCCTTTTACTATCGGTTCAGTACCGCCGATTCAATTTGGTGACCCGTGAAAATATCCCACCGGGATTGCCAATACTATTTAACCCGGACGCCCTTAGGCAACTCCATCTGAGAACCAGGCTGCGATTTCGAGGTCTACGCCTCGTGAGCAACTGACTGATTTTTCAAAATATCTGATGGAAACGACAACAGGTCGGGAGACTCCCGTAGGAAGTTGTGCATAACTTTCACCTCCATCCTAAGCCATTGTGCCGCTGATGGTACACAGAATGCATCAGCTGTGGTTTATCGAATCTGGGCTTCAGTTTTTAGCAGTTGTCCTTTATTACTTAACCACATAGCGGTTTGGAAATTAGGTATAAACTCGAGTGTAACTGTAGACCGCATGGACTAGTCGAGTAGTTTTTGTTGCTGAATGACGAGGAAACACCTCAGCTGTGTCCAAAGTGTCAAAACATAATCAAACATAGAAGCCATCATAAAGTTTCTTATTGTGTACGTTCAATGCCTATCAAGATGTAAAGTGCAGTGCAATCAGCACGGTCATTAATAATCCGTCAATAAATCCGTGTTCATATAGTACTGTATCATCTGTTACTACGCGTGTATTTTCACAGATTATCTGGGTAAATATGTGTAAACTTGCTAAACGAAAGGATTAGGCAAAAGACTGCAAGCCTCAAACGAATAACTCCAACATACGCAGTGATTTCGGGACGATTATCATCAGTTGCATAATTCATTAGAGTTCCGTTTGATTTTTACTAGATTTTACAAGAGGTCAATCGTCATTCATTTGGATTAAAGTGTCACCATGCATTACTGGAACATAAGGACTGCGTAACCAGTTTGATCCTACTCTCAAATATTCCAAATCCTCATGGAAAATTCACACTAGTAAGTCTATATTGCAATCCGTTCTTTACTTGGGTAACCTAGTGCAGTTTCAACTGGTATTTCTAGGTATGACATTTTCTGAAAATACTCTTGTTTTCCTACGTCCAAAGAACATCTAGCGTTCATTTGATCCAGTTGGTCGAAGGCACGGGTTTCTGAATTGCACTGGTCACAACCAACCATGATAGAATAAGCATATTTATACAGCTAGAAGAAAGGATGAATGGCTGGTTTGGGGACGTGCGTAGCAATAGAGGAGGCCAATGCTTAGTTGGATTGCCAATGATGAATACTTTCGTTTGCTCAAAAACGAGAGATGGGTTCGTAAAATTTACATCCACAAGCTAATTCAGCAGTGCCGGCTGTGTGAACCAGCCCACAGTCATAGTAATATACTTCAACCGGTACTGCTTAGGACATTTGTGTGACCCTGGATGAGTATTTCTATCAAATCCCAAAGTAACTAAGTGAACATGGTATTCAACTCAATCGGTTCGTGTTATCAGTCACTTGAATGTTAGTAATGAGCAATGAATTTAACAGTACGCAATCAGCCTAAATTCGGAGCACCCTTTCTTTGGTGTCGGAATTAGCCTCAAGAGATCAAATATCTCCTTTGGATTAGGAACGAGTTTGAAAGAGCTATCATGGTGTACATGGGATAACTTCACATGTATTGAGTGATAAAAATCAAATGAGTCTGGGACTACGGACGTATTCGGAGACAAATTCCAGGACTCCCCAATAGGCTTACTTCCCCCAAGTATTACTCGCTGAGGAGCATAACAACAAACTTGTTGAAGATGATAAGCTTGCTAATAACTTTAGCTGATAACTGTTTAGGTTGCACAGGGTTTTCTTTCCTTTCATTCGAAATTCTGATTATTGGTTGAATGAAACGCTTTTTGGAGGAGAAGTGTGTTATTCAAAATGAAATCGGCAGATTCCATGTGCTGGACCCAAACTGGATCAGGTGGGTTCGGTTTGGGACGAAATAAGCGAATATCGATAGATGCATACGATACAGAAAGGTGTCAACAACACAGGAATAATTATGTCTGTAAATGGTGCAATATATCAGGGTCAAAGGCACTTCTTGTGGGCTTTTCTGTGCCAAATGTCGATCGCGTACAGTTCAAATAAAATGTTGTGTCACTCGTCTCACAGTTCATCCGACGAACTCCATACATCAGACAGATGGCGCACTTCCGCTTTCCGAAAGCAGCCTACAATACCATCGGATTTGACAGGTTAAAATGTCATTTCTACTGTTTGCTTTTTCAAAATACTTCCGAGAGCTCCACCATTCTGTACTGGAGAAAAGCCTTTCAAAGCCTTTTGCTAGTCGAGGGAGCTACACAACCTCTGCCATGTCATAGTAGACCCACCTGGTGAACCTTTGAGGGGTTGTACCGTGTGAACATGTTCTGCTTTTTGAGTAACCGTCAAACTTACTTGAAAATTTCGACACTGCTGAAATCCTGTATTTGGCCATTCCGGAGCAACACCATCAAACAGTCATAAGCGAACCAAGCAACATTGGTGGTTGCGCGCTACACTGTACTCAAATTCCGAATTCTGAACCCGCCTTTTAACTCCGTGGTTAAGCATATCCAGTTAAACGTTACAGCCTGCAGAAGTACAGCAATGTTTCTTCGTCTAGGATAATTATCTTGCGTTTTTCCACATAAAAAGCTGTCGGCTGGATGGGACAAACGGATATGTGTTTGGGATGTAGAAACTGGAATACTTTTGGACAAATTTCGGGACCCACAGTGTCCAGACCCGCATGCAGCTGAAATGGCGACTGAAGGTGAAATTCTGGACATGGCTTACAGCCCAGAACTGTAAGTGGAAATTCAGGGATAAAACTTCGCTGTTCTGCCATTTTTCCTTGTTGCTCTGCCTCGATATTATTCTTTATGCGGAGTAAGCAAACGAACGTGAATAAATGTACCAAGTTTCCGGTTAGGATGAATGTAGTGTTTTCATTTGCGCTCTTCTTGGAAAGCCCAAGAAAGCATTCCAATATATGATGACAAAGTGTCTACCCGACTTGTAGTTACCAGCAGCAGAGTACTATACCATTATCTAAGATTACCTGGATGCTGGATTGACTTCTTATTGCTAGAAATTATGGCTGCCTGGCCGTCTGCGCAAAACTGGATGGACTTTCATTCTTTGTAATTCACAATACTAGGTCCAGGAGACTAGATGATACTTTTTTCAGTAGTTTGGGCTCGTTCAACCAGACAGAAACTTCTACTACTTACAAAACACTCAGTCAATACATTTTGTTTGTTTACGTCGTTATCAGCCAACAGTTTGCCTGCGCCTGTTCAGATTGGACAGTTTACATCCGGCGGGCTACTATCGTGGGCGAGAGAATGACATTACTCCACCAAATTATAGGACACTGCGGCGCGGTTTCCAGTGTAATTTATTGCCCAAGCGAACCCACTCTTCCCACCTCGGATAGTGAAAGCGACGGAAACGGCAGACAACCGATCGGTCAATGGATTACTGGCTCAGATGATGGAACGATAAGGATTTGGGTAGGTTTAAGCGTCATAGATTGAATTCCAGCGCAGTCGTCAATTGATGAACCGCCACATTTACCACGTCTCGTTGACTAGCCCACCTTCTCCTCGCCTGACTCATACGACTCACACTCATTCCCTTATATGCAGCTATCGAACGACCTGGATCACTGCCGCATGAAACTCCATACAGGTGGACCGGTAGCCTGCATGGCTATTAATCCCAGGGAACAGATCTTAGTTGCCGGAATCCACAAAGACATCAAGTAAGTGGTCTCCTTTTCGGGTGTTACCAGAAACGAATCCTTGAAGATCTCGCAAAAGAACACGGGTCATAACAATACTTACCACCGTGAGATCTAGCCGAAAGATAAGTGAAATCCAGCAACTTCTGATTAAGTGATATTGATTGAGTTCCATTATTCTTCATAAAGTGAATAATTTCCACTGTGATACGCGATATGCAGTTAAAATTTAGATCCCCTCAGAAGTCTGATAAAACCTCCTTTTTAGATAGATATGCAGCAATCGGAAAATATGTCGTCGCCTGTAGATAACAAAACTTGGGAAGTGCGTCTATTTGATGAACCCCAAGAAGGGTGAAACCGGCAGTGGGCTGTCAGATTTTTCAGCGAACTTATAAGTAGTGTACTGCGTATATACAATGAGCTCCAAGTTTCATTCATTCATGTAATACGGTTTCCATAAGACACTTGAACTTTAGAGTGAACGCCCTTTTCCAACGCGCCCGGAATGGTCTTTATTGAGATTAAATAGATGCGGCGAGGTGTCCCATTGAAGAATAAAGTATTTGTTCTTCTCGAAACTGAAACCATAGAGTATCCATTGAAATCGTTATCTTTCCATGTCAGTTTTGTAGAAGGGACTGGGCATTGTGGACGAAGCGGAAACTACTGAACAGTCTACGAAATGTTTTATTTAGCTTTCCAAAGAACAGAGAGTGGTATGGTTCGCCCAAAGTAGGCCAGAGTGAGACGCAATGTCGGTTACCGTTGGGTCAATGCTACACATCCCTTTCAGTCATTTTTGAAACGAAGACCGAACATTTAACAAGTTGGACTATATCGCTCGTATGCTTGGTATGATGATTTAAAGCACTGTAACCTCCGGATTCACATGAACAAAGCAGTAAAACACTACCGGAGTGAATTCATTTCACCGCGATCCTTTCTAAATAGTATCTGAGAAACCTCAGCATCATCTAGCTAAATGACCAGAAGACGTCCGAAATCGCGCACAGTCTAAGGATTGGCTCACGATCAAAGTGAACAGCCTAATCAGCGCGGAGCACAGTAGGCAACAAGGATTCAGCTGAGGCATTATCCAACACTTTCCAAAAAGTTGCGTAAGGCCATGCTTGAAAGTGTGAAGACGCATTTTCGGTCAACTATTGCATCATTTCTGCTGGTTAAACTAAGATAGAAGCTATAATAATGTTTAGACTCTTCCGCTTTTAAAAATCTCCACATAAACCATGTCCAAAAAACGTATCCTTATCGAAATTCATAAACCATGTCCAAAAAACGTATCCTTATCGAAATTTATTTCAGAAATGTCACCAAAATAGAAGTTCTCTTGGCAGGCATTATCAAGGCATTAGGTGGATATTTAGATGAACAATGAGAGTGATAGCTAACCGACTAGGTCACATTTGCTGGCATGTCACAGTCATAGTTCCAATTCATACGCACATTAAGTGATAAAAGGCCTAACGTCCCCATCTAATTGCAGGTCGTACGATCTGAACTCAGGCTATCATTACCACACCTATACTGGACATTCGGATGTTATTCGGTGGTTGCTTGTTTTGCCAGAAAAGGAAGAGGTAAGCTAGACTCACCCATCGCAATCCACGTAATCCGCGTTCATGAAAGCTAGCCTTTGTTGCATACAAGCAAATTAATCACATTTTTTTAGTACATTACCGCGGGTGCAGATGGACAGTTGCGTGTGTGGCGAGCATGGAAAAACATCAAACCGGTTGGTGAACTTAATACTGAGGAACGATCACCAAACACAAGCGGCTTCAAAACGTTACCTATTACTAATCCTGCAGCTGCAATTGGAGCAGCCGCCCGAATGTTCGCCAAATCGGGTATAATGCCCCACACGGAATAATGGTATTCTTTAGACTGTAACTTTAAACACATTCACCTGACATGACAGCACACAATTTTTTATTCCGTTGCACGTGTCATTATACTATTTCATGTTTCTTGAATTTTAGTGCTGTTTACATAAAAATGGTGATGCCGCGAAGAATCGCTGTTAACGCCATCACGAGCTGCAAATACCAAAGAGTCTTAGGTTTAGTCGTCCTGAGTCATCTAATGGTTCCCTATCCTTCCAGTATTTCATCACACTTCCTTGATAAGGGAACGTAGAGAAAGGGGTCCTCTTCAAATGTTTCCCACTATACCAGCTCGCTAAACAAGCATTGTTCTGTAACTTGGTGTACGGTAGTGCAACTCTGTATCGGTCCCTTGGCTTCCTGCTCCGCCCATTATGGTATGTCAAAAGGCACGGTAGCTCTACACAGACCCTTATGGAGACAAAGGAAAATCACTACTACTGTATTTATAGGGTAGTCAGAGAGTGTTCCACAAGGTCGTGCCATAATGTCCGTGAGGGGGCGAGAAGCGTCGAGTCAAAGGTGCTTGACTCGGATTGGCTGGCGTTCTGACCAATCAGGGCATGCCTTCGTCTGGCCCGTGTCCTGCACGTGATACATGCGTCCAAATGATGTGATGTTCGGTTGTTAGGGACGGCTGGCCCCCGAAAACCTCCTCCTTGAGAGGGTTGTTCAACCGACTGCTGCTTTGGACTCCACTGTGACGACTCATGGAGGTTCTGTCGCATTTGAATCCGTCGCTGAGGCTGTGTGCATGCCGATCTGGAATCTGGTACCCTACACTTGGGAGGTACATCATGGCTGTCCAGTGTCCCATGCCATGTGGTCCCCTCACTGAGCCGCAGTCTGTTGCCTGAAGTTGGTTCACATGATGCGTCTATGCTGATGATCTTACGTGTGCCTCGTATGTGGCATAATCGACCCTGCGTCCACCGTGGAGAGCATTCCCCATATATTTGAATAAGTGGCTGGTCTCTGTGTGACTGTTGTGGCGTTCCTCCTGCCGGCCCCCCTTCCTTGACTTTCAGGATAGCAGTAGGACGATCCGCCTGAACCTGGGACTGTACACTGAAGGGTTCAGACCGCGGGTGAAACGTTGCGGGCTGCTGGCAGGG